ACGATGGACACGGACACAGTCACGATGGACACGGACACAGTCACGGCGGACACGACGAGCCGCACTGTCACGGTGAGTCTGTGGACGTGTTAGAAGAGATTTTAATGGACGTCACCTTCATGTATTATTTTAAATGTATTTATTTTTTTGTTTTTCTTGCAGACGAGCTGCTGCACACTCCGGGGAAAGGTTCCAGTAAACAGATCCTGCAGGGTGAGAACTGATCACATCTGTACATCGTCAATAACAGACTACACAGATACTTCATTAACAGAGAAGCTGCTCCTGTCTCTATGGACGCACCATTAAAATCATCACTCACTGAAAGACTTTGGGTCAAATGTCAGATGTGTATTTATGATGCAGGATAGCAGTAACAGCAGTTGTCCTATAGTATAATAATTGATATGAATGTATTCATGGTAGTTAGTTTCTAAGTATATAACTGCATGTAAAATGGCTGCCATGATGCAGTTTAGTTTATAAATATAAAGTAATTAAAAAATAATAATTAGCAACACACAATTTGAATTTTACGTGACATAACAAGTATAACTTGTATATCCAGTGTCTGAGCAGGACTGTGCAGAGAATCAGTTACTAAAAGTCAAAAAGCAGCAGTGAAATGACTGAGAGGAAATAATACCAGCTCTGGCAGATGGAAGATCCAGCTGAAAAACCAGGTCTCTGAGCTCACTGACCACTGGGGGGCGCTCACACACCATCACGGCCTTCAGCAGTGTCCTATGACAACCACGTATCTCCACAGCTGGGATCTGTTTCATACACAAACTGATCAGATTCAGTCAGTCGCTGATACAGGAAGCAACAGTTTGACTTCAGGTCACATGATACGTGTGTATAATGTGTGTGTGTGTGTGTGTGTGTGTTTTAGGGGTCCTGCTGCACATCATCGCTGACACTCTGGGCAGTGTGGGTGTGATCATCTCCGCTCTGCTGATGCAGAAATACGACCTGATGATCGCTGATCCAATCTGCTCCATGCTGATCTCCCTCCTCATCGGAGTCAGGTGACTCTTCATCACTGGTTCACTGTTTGATGGGACGATGCAGCCATAAATAAATATATATTGTGTATGACGCAGGAGGTTGTGTGGGCTCACAGGGATTGGTTGTGTTGAATGCGATCAGTTTAGTCCAGTCACTACAACTTCATTGATTATTGTCTCTGAGCCACATGTCCCCAAACTAAACTACTCAACATTTATTCTATTTAGAATGAATTCTACAGACATTTCATTTCCTCCCACACAGGGAAAGTCTGTTTACTTCAGTTCTCTGAACAACCTCCAGTCTGAATACAGTCTGTTTAAACTCTGAAGAACCCTGAAACATCCCAAAAGAATGTCTTTACTGACCCCTAAAAGACCACCAGAACCTGCTAGACCCTCAGACTCTCCTCATAAAGACCACTACAACATTTCTAAAGGACTTTCTGACACAAACATAGAAACAGAGAATTATTATGTAACTTTGGTCATTTCTTACATTGAAAGCAGATTTAAAATGTCTGAGCGTCCATGAACTCACCACTGAGGGAACGTTTGTGGACCGTCTCGGCTGTATCGTGACGGTGACTAAAGCAAACGTGGAGCGTGATGGATTATCTGTCAGGTTTTAGGCGGATTCCTCAGAAATGGAAACACAGACATCGATGTTTGGAAAACGGTTTCCACGAATGCAAAGAATGTGCAATTAGTAGTTAATGGGCCCAACATGCCAAACCACCAGTGTGGAACTGGACAGGGTTCTGGATCCTGGCCTCGCCTCACTGGTCCTCTGGATGTAAATGCAGCGGTCAGATTTCCCAGAAGCCCCGGTGATAAATGGGGTTGATGTGATGTGGTTTGATAGGCTGGAAGTGAACGCAGCTGCAGATTTAAACAGTCAGCAGAGCAGAGCTGTGGTCAGTTGAGAGGCCTTCACTCAACCACAGGCATCAGGTTACTGCAGCTGGAAAGAAACTGCCCTTAAACATCTCATTCTGACTGTACGGCTCGCTCCCAACTGCCCTTAAACATCTCATTCTTCACATGCAGCCAGCTGCCCTTAAACGTATCGGTAGTGTCAGTATCTGTATCTGCAGTGTGTTTTGGGTGTGTTGGTTTTTGTGTCCAGGTTGTGATGTCAGTGAGGGGTGGAGCCACTATAAGCTGTTAGTGTTCACACATGCTCAGACCACCCATTCTAACCTTTGACCTCTGACCCTCAGCGTGGTGCCCTTACTGAGAGAGTCCATCGGGATCCTGATGCAGAGAACTCCTCCGTCACTGGACCAGGCCCTGCCAGAGTGTTATCAGAGGGTGAGCACACTAAACCCCGCCTCCAGCTGGACCCCTGCTGTCTGTCTGGTTTCTGTGTCACTGTGTAATTCCTGGTGTGTTGTGTTCAGGTGCAGCAGCTGCAGGGAGTTTACAACCTGCAGGATCCTCACTTCTGGACCCTGTGTACTGACGTTTACATCGGAACACTAAAGCTGCTGGTCGCCCCCGACGCCGACACCCGCTGGATCCTCAGCCAGACACATAACATCTTCACGCAGGTACCTGAATGCACCACACCACATCTTCATATAGTATCAGTAGTAGTATTAGTTGTTGTATTATTAGTAGTATTATTAGTTGTATTAGTAGTACTAGTGGTACTAGTGCAGTGCCCGTAGG